GGCCATTGCTTGGCCAATGTACTCTCTGTAAAAGCCTGAGAGAATGTTCTCTCTCCATGTGACTCTCCTTAGGCACACTCTACATCATCGATCACTTTCCTCTTTGGCCTTATAATCTTGATCAGAAAATTTGAGACACTACCGAGTTACATGACGTTACAGTACAAAGAACTAGAATTTGTTACAATCAAAATTTTGAGAAGTTGACTATGTTAAATCTTCGGTGAACCATACCCTTTTCTGGATCTTATCATCTGCACTTTCATCTGTAGATGGTGGCCACAGGAATCTGTCGCTCAGATGACCATGTGGTTAGTGGACACTTAATGACTGCTCTTCCTGTGATCCTGGGCCACGAAGCAGCTGGCATTGTGGAAAGCATTGGAGAAGGGGTGACTTCAGTAAAACCAGGTACACGATTCACACTCACTGAATGTGTTTTGGTTCATTATGCCAAGATCATCCAGGCCAGATCAGGAACTGCAGCCTCTGGAGATGTAAACACTCTCATGGGGCCTGGATGAACTGGACCAAGAGGTGACACTTTCCCTTTACCTCTGACTCACACATGCTATAAGCAAATGACCATGTATTTTCTCATTCAACATCTACTTATCGAGTTCATACTTGATGCCAGGCCTCAGATTCGAGCTGGGTGTACATGAGCTTCACAAGCACACAGTGCCAGCCAAAGAGGAGTCACGTTCTAATGACCTCCTTCATAGGGTGACAGAGCACTGCGTCTGTCAAGAGCCAAACAGAACTACAAACGGGACAAGAAAAAAACATAGGTTGTGGCCCAGTCCCTACATCAGTATACACAATTGTTCTGTGCTGACTTCACAAAATAGTGCTTCAAGGCTGTGACTGAGTCAACAGGACCTCTTGTCAGGTGGGGAGTGAAGCCCTCTCACCAACTTCCTCTTCCAATATGGCCACCTTTCTGATCACAAAAGCATAGCCACAGAGCAGAGGGAAGGAACTGAAAGAAAGAAAGCAGCAAGTACGCAGCCACAATGTCAGTTTTAAAGTGATGGTTACAGTTAAACTTGACTGGTTACAAGTAAGTAATTATTTGAGTGTAATTCTCAATCCTAATTTTATTATGTAGATTATGTTTTCACAATGAGAATGAATTGACAAAGCATTTACATACCATCACCTTTACATAATACTTGTTCATAAAATGGGATAGCTCAATAATTCTTTCTGGTTTCCTTGAAAAAGCCCCATGATTAAAAACACAAACCATTTTTAATTTTAAAACATCACTTGAGCTACTAGATGAAACTCCATCTTTTCCATGTACTTTGTTAGATTCTTAACAGAAAATAAAACAGGTAGTATAGTTTTTCTTGGAGGGCATGTTATTGCCTTTAGTTAGAGAAGACTGACAACACATGTTTTCCTTTTCCCTGCCCTATCTACAGCAGGCGTAATAGATTTTCCATAAATTATAGACAAAAGTATTTGAATTTCAGTTACTATTATAAAAGAAAGCATTTAATTTATTGTTAGGATTTCCAATGGAATCTCTTGAATTCTTTGTGCCATTTTTGTTAGTTTTAGCCTAAGTACAATGAATTTTAGAAGCTTTTACATCATAATAAAGGTAAGCATGGACTTTGAAAACTGAAAAGTAGATTATCAAACTGATTTTAATGTAACCAATGACAGAATCCTTAAGATTTTATTGAAATAATTACATTTATTTTTACTTAATTTTATCTTATGAAAGTTGTACAAAACATACGATTTTCCCAACATCTTGCTGAATTTAAAATTTATATAAATATATTGATAATATTATCTAATTATATAATATAAAATACGATATAATTTTATATGATATATAAAATAATGTAATATATCAGTATATAATGTATTTAGGTTTAGATTGAAGGTTTCATTAAGATTTTAATGTTATGATGCATAAAGTTTCCAAGTAAAATCAGTGTACACAATAATATCAAGTATTAATATAATGGAAATAAATTTTAGTCCTTGTTGTTATCCACATCTTCATGTGCTATTGAGATTTCTGCAGACACATAATATAAGTGGATAATAATGCTCAAAGCATTAATCAGTGATATTCTTGTGACTGGATTCTATTTCTAAGAGAACTTTTTGAGGATATATTTTTCCATGCATAAGCTTTAAGTTCTTTGGGTAAGAATTCCTGGGTAGAAATTGAAAAATAATTCATGGTATTTCCCCTTCAGGTGATAAAGTCATCCCACTGTTTGTTCCCCAGTGTGGAAAATGCAAAAGTTGTAAACACCCAGAAAGCAACTTCTGCGTGAAAAATGAGTAGGTGTCTTTCTTTTTCTGCTTCTGGAGTTGCACATCAGTTGTGCTCTGTCTCATGTCTTTGTGTGCCTGTGTGTCTCACTGAACAGTTTATCATCAGGGAATCCGGGCAAACTGCAGGACGGCACCACCAGGTTCACCTGCAGAGGAAAGCCCATCCACCACTTCCTGGGCACCAGCACCTTCTCTCAGTACACAGTGGTGGATGAGATCTCCGTGGCCAAAATCGATGCAGCCTCACCCCTGGAGAAGGTCTGTCTCATTGGCTGTGGATTTTCTACCGGTTATGGCTCTGCTGTCAAAGTTGCCAAGGTAGGCTTGACCATGTCTGATGACACTAGGTATACTCAGCCTGACAATACCCACAGGGAAGCCGTTCCTCGCAGGGATCACAGGTTATTTTCATGGATTTGTGGTGTTGACAATTTATAGAAAAGTAGACCTCGCAGGAAAGGGAGAACCTGTCCTGTAAAAATTCACTTGTTTATCACAAATGGAAATGTTGTTGATAATTAGGTGAGGGAAAGTAGATTTCCTTTTCAATATTGATTCAATATTTGTTTTCATGAGAATACTGAGTTTAGGGCTCTGGGGAGATATCTCAGTGGAATAAGTGCATGCCTGGCATGTGCAAGGTGCTGAGTTCAATCTCTGGTACCACCATAAAAAAAAGAGAATACTGAGTTTTAGATCTGAGAATTCATTTAGTCACTCATTCTATAGTTACACTGCAAAGATGCACACATTAGGATGACAGGTTCTGCTGAGTTTGAGGGAGCCAATGTGAATAATACATAATAATATACAATAGTAACTTTAAAAATAGGAAACAACCTGGGATACCTCCCCAGGTACCATGTCAGCTGTGCCTCCCTACCCATGATCCCACTGGGGAGGGTTGAAAATAAACCTGCCTCCCATCCCCAACAGCCAGGAAACAGCAGCTCTGGCCCACAGGACACAAAAGAACAGTGAGTCCAAAGGTAGTTTTTAAGGACAGAACATATCGGTATATTCTGAGTCCTGGATTTCAGTTAACAGCATATGCCACACCTTATCTGAAACAGTCCCAGATCAAGGGTCACCCACTGTGTAAAAGTAATGACGCTTCACATTTCTGTCTATGGGATTTCCTACCTCCCTTGCCACAACATACATACTTGTGAAGTGTTATGCCTCAGTAGAAAATCATTATAGACACCCCTTCCCCAAATGCCATTTGCTTTATAAAACTGAGATCCAGACACATAGAGTTATTTACTCAAATGTTTACATTTGATCTAAGACTAGCATCTCTTCTGAGATTTTGATATAAAATTATGCTTGAAAATTATTTGCACCTTTAAATCACACTATGAAAGCTGCATTGCTATGCTGAAAATGGTAGTGTACCTGATGGCATATAATAACACTTGGTGAAAGAGTGAGTGAGTAGATACCCTTACAGGAATATCACAGTGAGTTTACTTGGAACAAGAATAGTCTATCTATGGAAGACTAACTTCAGAAGATCAGGCTTGTTCAACAGCCACAGCCAATGTAGGCCTTGAGAACATCTGTTGCATATGCCGTTTCTAGTTAAATTTCTGAGACCTCAGTCTTAAGCCCCATTAGTCCTCGTTCAGTGGCTTCTGGATTGTAGAGGTAGTCTAACTTAGCTAATCTATAAATAGATTAGAAGGATGCTTAGGAAAAGGGTTTCAATGTTATTAAAATAAAAAAAAACTTTTTTGTATTATTACTTATTATTTTTAAATATCAAAGATAAAGATCTATAAGCATCGCCTTGGCCCCAAGTGTTATTTTTTTCTTTCTTTTTTCCCTGTGAGTCTACAGGGTCTACAGGGTCTCACTACATAGATTGAACTTGTAGTGATTCTCCTGTTTTCAGTCTCCCAAGTGCTGGGATTACATGCATGCCCCACCATAACCAGTCTCAATTGCCACCTCAGCATGCCCCAGGGGCAAGGCCAGCACAGCATGCTGGGGATTGAACAACCTGGTCCCTGCACCTGTTTGCAGGCACTTTAATCTGCTGAGCTATTTGGCTGGCAATTGAAT